GCTCATGTTTCAGGATAATTTCATGACCATGCTTTGCATCTTCCTTGCTCAATTAACACCTCTGCATTTGATTTCATCTCACATGTAGTCCCAGATGAGTTTTTCTTGTCTTGGCCAACTGATTCATTCTTCCCATCCAACTCCTTGCTCCTCCCATTCCACCACATCTCAGACTTCTTTGAGGAGAAGCACTGAAGTTCACATCACTTTTTATTAGTCTCAGCCTATTGACTGTTCACCTACTCTAATTCTCCCACTTACCTCACTTTGAATGTAAATGCAAAGCAGGTATTAAGACAGCAGAAGGTACAATCATCTCTTCAGTCTGTCTCCTTTTACTTTCTTGCTAACTTAGGGGGAACGTGGGAAACATTCTCAAAAACCATCCTCAAACATGAAAAGCTATTCTGCCGACACATCTTGATTTAAAGCACCTCTCTTAATCACTCTCTAGAGGAAGCAATCCTCTCTTCTAGAACTAGATAACCTACCCTCCATGCCTACAATTTTTACCTATGTAAAAAGGTAGTGAGCCTCTTTATTAAGGCTCACTAAACATTTTCTGTAATCTGTCCAAAACCCTACTCTTCCAGCATTTTGATCTGACTTTGGTCCTTTCCACTCCACTGAAATTATTCCTTCCAAAGCAATGTTAGATGCAAACTCATTTGGATGCAAGTTCAAAGAGAAGGAATCATCTCTAGCATATCAATTGCCTTTGCTTCTATCTGCCTAACTCTTCCTGAAACCTCATCCTCCATTGACTTTTCTGATCTTATTTGCTGCTCCACCTAAACAAGATACTCCTCATCTTACAAGTTCCCTCTGCACCTCTCTCCTACTGCAAAGGAGACCAACTTACAGCTCTACGCCTTTCAACACATCCCCAACATCTGCTCAGCATACAGTAATCTAGTAAGTGGTACCAATTCAATACTGGTAACTCACATGCTTATCTAGTTGGAATCTACCTCCTTCTCTTTGCATTAGTAGTTGCAGCTGCACATCTTCAGTTTTGAGCTTGTTAACTAGTTCCCCCCCAACCATCTCCCTTTCATTCCTTTCTTGAAAACTGCTCAGCTTCATAAGTTTGTCACCACATACATGGTCTCACCTTTGACTTGTAGCCTGAACATTAGCTCTAGAAAAGAAATGCACTTATAAAAAAAAAAATGCAAGATTTTTAAGATCCAAAATACAACTTTTTCTATCTACCCACATAGCAAAATCTGCAAGTTAAGGGGAATCTGACCTGCAACTCTTACATTTGACTAATGGATATGATCTTGCCCTACTCAGAATGTCCCTGGAAATATTTTCTTTTCCAGGAAAACACTGTCTCATTTAGACACCACCAGCACCCTCTACTGCTGCTTCACGGTCCTCCATTCCCCTATCAGTACAGGAAGAAGGAATATATATATATATATTTATATATAAATAGTGTGTGCATGCACATGTTAATCTAGCTAGGTTTCCATTGCCTATTCATTCCTATTTTGCACACCACCTCCTCGGTGTTCTGTTTTGAGTAGGACAAACTACCAATAAGCATCAATTAAGCTATGTTTCCTCAAAACTTAGCGGCACTGACAAAACCACACCCCCAAAAAACTGACCATAGTTTGGGGACTAGCATTTTGGGAATACCAATTGTCATGCTGACAAACACCATCTCCATTCACCATCTATATTAAAAAATAAGTTACAAGTCTTAAAGCTATTGTGTTCTAACAGCGCATGACAGAATCCTTGCTTGTAATTAAGGTTTGTATGTATTAAAGGAGGGGGGGGAAAAAGCAGCCAGGAAGTTTCCTCACAGCTCCTACTGTAAGAATTTAATAAATTCAGACTTGGGCTTACCAAGTTTATATGTTAAAAGTGAGGACAGCATCTTGTGTTCATTCAATTTCATTTATTTAGAACTAAGCCATTTCTCCTCCCTCCCCCTACATTTACTTTGCTTGGCACATAATGCAGATCACAGCTGAGAAGGATCTAGAGTAATGCTGCTTAGCTCTTCCCCTGCAGTAAGTTCTGCATTCATTTCTGTTCTAGTCTGTATTTCTATTTTATAATGAAACATACAGCCTGGTTATTTATAGGCTTTTCCAAGGATTAACTACACACTCACAAGAATAAACCCTCAAGAGATTAACCTCATCCTCCCAAGCTTCACATGCTACAGTCCCAAAGATAGCTGACAACCACAGTCAAGGAGAGGAGGGGGGGGGGAAAAAAAAAAAAAAAAAAAAAACACCACCACACCACACACACACCTCACAGTAATCCCACATTTTGCTAATCCCTTTAGCCAATCACCACAGGCAACAGTGGAGCCCCCTCTGAGGCCTATAGCTCAATCTGTCTCAAGAGTATTGTGAATCCAAAAAAGATACATTTCACAGAACCATTAACTCCCCTCAAAAGGCAAAACAAGACATACTTCAGTACTCAGTAATGCACTACCTAAAATGCAGTGCTAAAAAAGATTCCAGCTTGCTGCTCATACAAACATCTGAAACAAAAAAAAAAAGTATGTTCTACTTTCAAATTAATAAACTAGGTAGTTTTATAAGTAAAGAAACTTAATAAAATTGCATAGCTGACATCTGGATAGACCAATAACTGTCCCTTACCCTTCCTAACATGAACTTTGAGTACCTTTGATTTTTCAGCCTGCTGTTTAATCTCAAAAAAAAACCAAAACAACAAAAAAGCAAACCCCATCCACAAACACACACACTACACACACACACACCCCAAACCACCCCTTCAAGTCAGACCATGATAATCTACTTAATCCTTTCATATCATGATCTGTATTCTCCCTTAACCCCAAATGTGGGCACTGCCTACAGCTGCAACACTGAGCAGTACCAAGGAGGTAACAGATGCACGTATCTTTTATGGTCAAAGGTTTTTGTTTTGGTTAAGTATCTAGTAAGTCTACTACTTCATTGAAATTTAATACATGTATTAAATGGCACCATTAAAAAAAAAAAAAAGTGATATGCACATTGTTTAGCCACACTGCTACCCAATATCTGAAAGGTAAAAGCCCTCAGAAACATGCAGGAATAATATAAGGCCAGAGATACAACTGTCAACAGCTAACCACCCATGGTTAAAACTTCTACTGCAGGAAAGAACCAACACAAAGGATTAGCACTGCTTACAAGCTCACTGAGTCTAACTATATTTCTTTTTTTTTTTTTGAAAACACAATTGAACATGTCAATTCACTCATTCTTTCTCTTTAAGAAGAAACTTTTTAAAAGTTGTAATTGCATGTGGTACTTGTAGATCTTATTGCTTTTTAAAGAATATATTGTGCAGATTTGAAGAGCTGAATGACTTACACTCAGGACAATGCTACCATAACAACTTCGGCAAATCAAATGTTGCTATCCTAAGAATGTTTTTAAATATATTTTGATACCTATTTCTTTTTACTGCATAAAACATTTTAAGACTAGCCCATTTAAAAAATGCTTTCCATTTCAGATTTGTCCTAAAGAAATCATTCATTAAAAAGTACAGTTTTCTAATCTTTGCTAATCAAATATCAAATGTACATGTGGTGTATTTCAGAGATCAAATCATGTATTCATAAAGTAATTTGTTACACAAGCAAAGCATAGAGGAGATTGTGACAGATACAGATGTAATTGTGTGGGTTTTTAAAGTGTGATTAGCAAATCAACTAAGTAACAGTCAAAATTTGATATGAAGGTAAAAAAACAGCTCAGATTTGAAGAGGGAGTATGTTTATGCAAAGCTAATCTGTCAAGTGTAATAAAGCAGCTTGAATAAAATTTAAGCTGAAAATCCACTGAAGCTCCCAATTGCAGGGAGGAAAAAGCTATTAAAAGGAAATGAAGGTCACCCTCCCAGTTTATTTCACCTAATTGACTGCCAATAGCTCACTACAGGCAAGTAGACTGAAGATTTGCAATTGAGAAACTGATGAAAGGAGAGTTTTCAAGCTGAGGCTCATTCTTTTAATCCTCCCTCACTCTTATGGTTTTGGGTTTTTTTTTTTCTTCTTCTTCTCTCCATCTCCAGTTGGGATGCAATTTTAAGCACAGATGGATTAACTGGTTCCATTGTCTGTAGATGTCATTGGACTATGGCACTGTTAATCCGTACAGCAGCATGTCTAATTATCATTACAAAGTGTCTGAGGGAACTATAAAGACCAGCAGGGCATCTTCTCACAAGCAATTAACATAAATTGATAAATGAGTAATTTGAATCCGCTCAAGGCGCTCACATATGAATAAAATCAGAAAGGACGGCTTCTTGTTCCAGCTACTTCTTTCACTTAGTGTGGAAGGGCAGAAAACATGTGAAATACTCTAGACTTAGTGGCGGGAGGGTAATGAACTCATGCAGTGGAAGGAATGTGTGGTTCACAAAGTTCATTAATACAAAACAAATGACTTGCTTGTGACTGGTTGTCAATCACAAGTAGTATTAACTTATTTCAGCATATTTAGAAGCACAAACTTGGTGAAAGGCTATTAGAACATTGTGTCAGATAATTAATACTACTTCAAAAGCAAGTGAAGTTTCTTTTCATTCGCTCGCTATTTTAAAATTCATGAAAGACTCACAAGAAAGAAAGAAGAATGAGTAGTTGTGCAGGCTCCAAGAACTCAACTGTCACAAAAGGCATGAGGTAAAGGTAGCTAGATCAACTGACAGAGAATACCTACAAATAATGATTAGGACAGTTGCTTGTTTATCTTTCTTACAGTGAAAGTTCTGCTGTGCGTTACATCGTTGCACAAAGGAACATTCTGAAACAGGAAACTGGTATTTAAGTTAACCCCTACTAAAAATCTGTGCAACCAAGTCAAACACATTTGAGCAGCATTAGGCATCAAAACAGTATTAGATATCAAAACATTAAGCTTATTTTAAAAATAGCAAAGCAGTAAGGTATGAAAGCAGGTTATACACACTGTAGGAGGTAGACCCGGAAGGCCACGTACCCCGATGATGGCATTCAGTTCAGCCATGGTCACTTGCTTAGCACGTTCTACAGCTTGGGCCACTTGCTGCTGATGCTATTAAAGTAAGAAGGGAGGCAGGGGGGAGGAATTTATGTTGAAGTATTGACCACACCAAATCATACTAAAATAAAAACAGGACCACAAATACTGGAATAATCAGTTTCTCTGTAGAGGTTCAAGCTATCTATTACAAGACACATCCTATGCAGGTAAGAAGCAGTGTCCTATTTTTCACCTGCTCACCAAAAGCAGGTGAGAGCCCTGAAGGCAGTCAGTCAGCTCACTTCTATCCCCATGCCACTTCAGTATTAGTTTTCTGACAAATTAATCTGTCTCTAATCGAGTTGACAGGACAATAATGTCAACTTCAAACTAGTGTCAATTTTAACATTTATATACTCTGTGCCCACACAGCAAAACCTAATGACATTTCAAACAGGAGGAATAAGCGTTTCCACCAATCTCAAGAATTATAAATGCTCTTTGCAAACTGTAGAGTTTAAAAAGGCATATCCAAAATAACAGGCTTCAAAAAATATAACAGCAGCTGCCTACAATATGCTACAGTCACAGTCATTCAGACCAGATCTATTATGCAGGTTTGTAACCTTAAACAATGGTTTTGCATTTGAGCTCACCTTTTACACCAAAATCAGATTGAATTTTGTAGACAAGACCAGCATTCTTATTTCACTGGACTTACATTTGACAATTGAATACCAGATAAGCAATCACCACAATTAGAAGTGAAAGCATTTTGTTACATTGATAATATTTTACAGACTCCTCCTCTCTTCAGAGGATGAATGAGGCTGAGCCATTGTCACTAGTTTGAACTCAGATTTGTTAGACCAAATTAGCAGGGGTTTTTTTTCTTTTCATAACAGATGTTCCTTACATTTGTGCATTGTGATAAAATTAACATCTTAAAATTAGCTACTTTGCAAACAGAAAAGCAACATAATTGCACTTTAACAGCGTAACAGTTTTACTTACTTCCTGAGACAAAAATGGGATGACTTGTGCACAGATTGTATTCAATCTCTTGGCGATTTCCGTCTATAGAAAAAAAGTAGATATTTTGATTAAAATTGTGTTTTAGGCTTGTTCCCATATATCAACTAGTCTACAGGATCATATTAAATTCACACACTGGAGACAACAAGAAAAATTTGCGTCTTTATACTACTGCAAATATAAATAGTTAGTATACAGGCCCAAATCAGGGCATAGATTTAGTTAACTACTTTAGGACTTCTGCCACGTCTCAAGTACCTAATCTGTATAGACACTTAAGCACAAATCTGGTCCTTGTACATAGCTCATTAACAAGTACGACAGTTTTTGAAATCCATTAAATCCAAGATAAAGCCTTTTAGAAGGTACATTTATTAACTCAAATTATCAACCAGCATAACATGAAGGTGATGGGCATGGAAGAAAGTCTTTCACAATCAATTTTACAACTTGTATCTAGCTTTAAAGTCTAGAAAACAAGTTAGCTGCCTTGCAAAAATTAAAAAAAAAAAAACAAGAAGAGACAAACAGCACACAGAGGGCTGAAAACAAGACGCGGTATGAAGGATTCTTGGAAGAGGCATTTAAAGGTGAGAGAAAGAGGGTTTGCCAAGTACGTACTGCAAACAAGCCAAACAAACCAAATAGGATGGAAAGAAAAAAAATGGGGGGGGGGCGCCACCAAGGAACATAAGTATATTCACGAAGGTGGAGGAAAAAACTGCTGGTACCCTGAACACAGGGCAAAAAAAAGATGAATTAGAAGGCAAAATTAGTTTTGCTGACAGCAAAAAAAGCCATCAGGAACACAAATGAAATACCAAAACATAAGTGAGGCAGAACAGAGACACAACAAATATAGACTTCTAAGGAATCCATACTGAGAGTATTAAAATAACGCAGATAGGAAAAGAAAAGAACTAGATCAGAAAATATGATAGTCAATACTAACAAATTAGTGAAATCACAAAGTAACAAAACCACAAGTAACAAAAGAACAATAAACCTAGAAACCAGTAGAGGAACAGTAAAGGAACAATCCAGAGGACTATCAACTTGCCCCTTTCCCCAGTCGATCTACTTTTACAGTGATTGTCCCAGTAGCAGAATATCTGACCTCACATCAGAACTAGAAAAAAAGTACCCTTCCGAACTGCTCATCATATACAAGCAGCATCCCCACTACTCATCCGTGGTTCCAGATAAACTTGCATGGACATATCATAACTAAAAACGTTTATTTCCAGATTACTTGCTGCTGTTACAAGGGCCTGTTAATAGGCATTCACACTGAAAGGAAGGAAACTGAAAAGACTATTGTATACTTCATAAGAAAAGTCTGCTTCTATTTAAAAGTAAA